TTATGAATGCAAAGTATAGTTGAGTTATAGTGAGTGTAGATTTGTCTGGTTTTATATAAAATGCCAATATTTCTTGAGATTTTATTGCTAATATGTTTAACATAATCTCTCCAGGATAAGTTTTCGTCTAATAAAATACCAAGTAATTTATTTGTGAATGAGCACTCAATTTTGATGTTATTTATATATGGCATCGATAAGGATTTTGAAAAATATTGAAACTTTCGTTTAGAAGGGAATAAGGAAAACTTAGTTTTATCAGTGTTTAAAATAGGCTGTTAGCGATAAGCCAGTTTGATATTTGTTCTAGTTCATTACTTGAAATAAAAAGATAATATTACTGTGAGAATAGAATAAAGTGGTGTCGTCTGCAAACATAATAGTAGACATAGTATTTGATGCTTTATATAGATCGTTGACATAGATTAAGAACAGCAGCGGACCTAAGATGGAGCCTTGTGAAACTCCACGTAATATTTTAAGTTTTTTTGTCTGAAAGCCATCATTTAGAGTAATAAACTGCTTTCGATCAGTTAAGTAACTGGTAAACCATTTATGGTATTCGTGGCTTATTCCATAATATTTTAGTTTTTCTAATAAAATCTAATGGTTAACGGTGACAAATGCTTTTAACAAGTCTAGGGATACACCTAAGGTGAATTTGTTTTGAGAAGATGCTCCACTGATAACTTCAACAAGTTGCATAAGTGCATGTTCCGTAGAGTAATTTCATCGTAAAGTAAGATCGAAAACCATATTGGTTATATATCGCTTCTGTAGTGGTCAATCACTCGCGTCTTCAGGTGGCGAGAGGTTTCGCCAATAAAATGTTTAGTATATATATATATATATATATATATATATATATATATATATATATATATATATATATATATATATATATATATGTGTGTGTGTGTGTGTGTATATATATACTAGAATTGGTAACAGGTATAGTGCCCTTAAAAAGACAAAAAAAATTAAATTGCCAATAATTATTCTTAAAAAGCATTTCAAAAAATTGTGCTTATTCAAAAATATAATCAGACCATACAAATTTCAGAAAAAAGTCAAGTTATAGTGCAGAATTTCAAATTTTTTTTCAAATTTTGCTCCAGAAGATTGTTTTTTAGAAAATTTGAGTACATAAAATCACTAATATTTAACATAAAATGAAAAATAAAAATAGTATGATAATACTGATTTCATAACAATTCGACGCATGGGGCATTGTTTTAGCTTTGCATCTTCACAAATGCCATTGTTTGAAATGCATCTTTCCTTGCATCTATAGAACAACTTAGTTTCTTCACTCTTTTTTCTTTCTCTGTCTTCTTTGTCTTGCAATTTTTTTTTCTTTGAATTGTAAATAGATTTTACAAGTTTTAGCATATCTTGACCTTCCGTGGAGCCATGGACTTGAGTTACTCTTGTAGTTTCTTTATGCATACTATTACTATGAGTTGACTTTACTTTTTGGATTGTCAAAAGACCTGTTAATGTCATTAAGATTTATGCTTTTTTCATGTAAGTCTGTGATCATGGCTTGCAATGACAAACATTTTTCTTTCCAGTTTGAAGCTTTTTCTTTCCAATACATTTGACTATCTTTTCGTTTTATTGATATAAGAGAACTTAATTTGCTATTTAGAACTGTAGAAATATCAGTAACGTTAGGTGAAGCAGCTAATAAGCATAATGTTGTCTGTTGTTGAGGTGTTTCTATTATAGAACTGTTTTTTTTAACTTCTTCTGCTAGCATAGAAGCTTATTGAAATTTATCATTTTGCATAAATGCAACATTTAAACTTTCATTAGTAATACCAACCTTCTTTCTTTTGCTTTTTTTATTAATTCTGGCGTGGCCAACTTGTCCCACATACTTGCAAAAGACAACATAAAGGCTTTTCTATTAATTGTTTGATGTTGTTTGAATAGATTTTCTTTTGTATTTGCATAGAGTTCATGAAGTGCCTTGTTAATTTGATCAAGTAGTTATGTTACCTCAATAGTGTCTGGAGGTGAAATAAATAAATGTATTTCTTTCTCTCTAAGAAATCGAAGTAAGGTCTAATGGAAGCGAGAACTGTGACCACTGCTTAGTACACCCAGAGCAAAGTATTTCTTTCTCAATCAAGTGTCGATCAAATAATTTATAAAATGCAAGTAAGGATTTGTGATCTAATAATCTATTCTCGGTTGTTGAAACTAATAAGTTGTTAAATACTTAATAAGTTAATACTTTGAATAGCACTCGGCGGAGCCATCTGACTATTAATTCTTTGAGTACCAAATATGGCAGATGCATTTTTCACCTAATAATAAAATAAGCATAGAAAATGTGAAGTTTTTAGTAATAAAATACACGTGTTGTCTTAAATTTTTAAATTTGTTAACTTTTATAAAATCCACTTTTAGTAATAAGCGTTTATAGTAAATCAGGGTGTTATATAGAATACAAAATATAATATGTATTATTCAGTTAAAAGTAAAGTTTAAAGTTTAAAATGTGTTTTGGTGTTTACCTGATAACGACACCATTGGATTTATTGGAACACATTCACGATTTTGCCGAGTCATTTTTTGACATGTTTCACCACGACCACCATATACTAAACCGCTTGCTGAACCATTAACACCAAAGTTAACAAATTGTGGAGTTTCATTGTGATTAAAAATCCAAGACAAGTCAATTTGCCCGGTCCAATATCCAGATGCTTCTCGATTTTCTTTAATCATGGTGCCACATTCCACCAACTCTTTAGCAAGATCATTTGACAGTGAATAATTAAAATTACTTTTAAAAAATCAAACTGTAACAGACTTCAGAGTTTTAACTCTATATTAGCATTTCTTAGTTATTTGGATGAGTTTGTTTATTCTGGCTTTAAGTGCCAGATACATATGCTATAATTTTTATAACATATTATATTTATTTTTGTGAATTTTAAAGTTGTTTTACCTAAATGAGAGCAGTCCATTTCACGAGTGCAATTCATTGGTCTATTCATTGTGATGACTCCTTGTCTTTTTAAAGAAACATTGACATGTTTGGCGTCCCATCGTCTCCGAAACGACTTACTTAGGCTAAATAGAAAAAATATAAAAAAAGTCAATTCAGTAATGAAGAATTGTATCAATACAAGAAGGATTTCTTACAAACTAGATAATTTTGACCTTTTTTTCAAAAGAGCTTTCCTGCCATTTATAGTCAAAGTAATAAACTTTCTTCCTCCTTTCATCTTTTTGTTAGCACGATTTTGAATTTTTAACACGTCCAAAATGAGGTTTATTAGTTTTTTTCTGTTCATAGCTTGATAAGCACGATTTTTACAGCGTACATGTCTTATAATATAACTATAAAATCTTCTTCTTTAGCTGTTAGAAGCATTAGATATTTTTTTCATTTCCTGTATAAACTAGATTATCTAACCGCTTATCCATCACGATTTTTCTTTTTATTAATGGATGATGCCCTGTTGATATTGCCGCATATCCTCGCTTTTCATTAATTTTGCACCATTCTACAGCTTGGCTTATCTGTTTATTTCTTTCATCTCGGTTAAACTGCTTTACAGCTGCTTCAGATTTATTTCTTGGCTTTTTTATTACAGAATTGGATGTTACTCTTAAGCAAAATTTTGGTTTTATTTTTATTTTATTCTATAATAATAAACATTTTAAACTATTATGTAAAATTAAACTGTAATCTAAAAAAGCAGCAAATAAACCACTTGATTTTAAATTCCCT